AGCTTAACCCTGACAACAATTAATAATATATAAGGAATATTCCTTTTGTTTTTAAATTATCTAGTACATCAAAATGACATTTCCAGATCTTTGTGTTGGGTGTGACTCAAACTTTATAAAGCTGAAGGAGGAACTAAACCATTTCTAAGAGGGTAAAACTGAAATGTCAGCTTTAGTAGCACCCCAGATTCCCAAGAATGCAGGAAAAATCTGCAATTCCCTCCTGAGGCCACGTGGTTGGTGGCACCTTTGAGCAGATGTTCAGCCACTCCCCTCCATCCTTTGCATGAGGTGATTTTGTTTTGTGCCTCGTTAAGGTACCTGAGCCAACAGTCTGAGTTCAGGCTGGTTTGTCAAGTTTCCAGAGGTTCTCCCAACCCCTGCCAGCAGGCTGATCCCAAGGAATGTGAGCAGCAAGGCAACTGCCGAGAACATTTGTCCTGGAAGTGCCACCACACTCATCAGCAGGTGAGCACGATGTCCTCAAGAAGTCCTTTCACCCCTCAATGTGCCACCACACTCACCACAAGATTATCTTGAAAGAACATTTGTCCTTTAGAAGTCCTTTTGCCTCTTGCTCTGCCACCACANAGGGGCGGGATGCGGGGACGCGTCCGTGCCACATTGGCGACACCCGGCTCCGTCTGTCACCTCCAGCCGGGCACGGGGAGAGCTCTGGAATTCCCGGGAATGGGAAAAGCGGGATCGCTCTGCAGCCGGGGACAGCAGGGGTTCCCCTGCCCGCTGCATCACAGCACCGCACACACGCGAGTGAGACACCAATATTGAACTCTACAGCACACACGGGGTGTGAGACACCAATATTGAACTCTACAGCACACACGGGGTGTGAGACACCAATACTGAACTCTACAGCACACACGGGGTGTGTGAAACACGAATATTGAATTCTACAGCACACACGGGATGTGAGACACCAATATTGAACTCAATAGCACACACACGTGTGAAACACCAATACTGAACTCTACAGCACACACGGGATGTGAGACACCAATATTGAACTCTACAGCACACACAAGTGTGAAACACCAATATTGAACTCTACAGCACACACAGAGTGTGAGACACCAATACTGAACTCTCACAGCACACACGAGTGTGAGACACCAATATTGAACTCTCACAGCACACACGAGTGTGAGACACCAACACTGAACTCTCACAGCACACACGGGGTGTGAAACACCAATATTGAACTCTACAGCACACACGGAGTGTGAGACACCAATATTGAACTCTACAGCACACACACGTGTGAGACATGAATATTTAACTCTCCTTAGCACGCTGCTAATTATCATCTGAATTTAACACTTCGAGGTTTCTCATTCCATCCTCAGCAGGAGAATGGGATGCATGGACAAACTGCATCACAAAAATAATAATTGCAAGGGAAGCCCGCTGCTCTCCTTACACTGCGTTGTGTAAAATCCCTGCTCCCAGCAGCATTGCTACTCCCTAACAAAGACATTCCACCACCAGAGGCTTTATCCACCTCCAAACCTTCTCTCAAATCACTACAAAATACAGAAAGAGGAGGATTATTTGCACAAGCACATCTGGCATGTTTACTTATTAACTCAAGGATGCTCCCCTTCAAAATCAGGAAGAAAAAATGACATAAAATTAAAAAAAAATCTGCCTTAATAATGCTGCTAACAGTTACTGTGCACACTGTTAGATCTCAGCTCTTAAAGGAAATATTGAGTTCTGAGGGAACCCAGACAGAGCTGGGATGCTCCTGAACAAAACAAAACAAAACTGTCTCCTGAACTTTATGGAGACAGGATCATCTCCACATCTCCTGAAAATCTCCACATTCTGTGGGGTGTCCACAAAATTTGGAGACGAATCCTAGATCCTGTTTAACACCCTAATAAACACAGATAAGTAGCTACTGGGAAGTTCCAAACATCATTAAGAGGGTTGGCTCAGCACAGAGAGGGATTTAATTTCTTTTCTCTACAGTTCAGAATCATTTTTCCACCCCAGCCCAATGCACAGGCAGATAAATAAGGATGGAAGAGCTTCTGAAGGGCCACACCCTATTAACAGTTTTAATATTTGTCCTAAAACAAATTTTATTCTGACATCATCAGTTATCCAAACAACTCAACAATGCCTCACAGATAAAGAATAGACTCAATATAAATTAAAGATTCTTTTGCTAGGGATTCCTTTAAGGAAGTAAACAAATTATCAGCCAGAAAAACTTACAGATCAGCATTTATAAGATGCAGTCAAAAACTGAGAGTGAGCCTGTACTTACTGTGAAAGTATTATTTATAAAGCTGCCACTTGACACCAGTGCTTTGGCTGCTATTTCTAGTTCTCTTTAGAGTATTCAAAAGAACAAAAGATTGACCAAAAATGTGTTCTTGGTGTGCATTTTTCAAGGATGTCCCATAGATTTCACTAAATGGAGTTTAGTGTGAATAAACAACATTCACTCCATTAACTATGTCAGCATTATTGACCACAGAATGGGTTTTGGGGTAAGTTCATCCATTTGGCACTGCACCAAAAAGGGCCCCTTTCCTAACAGAGCTAGAGGCCTGAAGAAAAGAGATTTTCCTCCCTCTTTCATAATCTCCTTCAATATGACACCAAGGCTTAAAAAAAAAGCCATGAGCCAGCATTAATTGTGTTGTGCTCAGGATACCAACCTTCTGTGCCATTGGAACACCCACACAGAACAACCCCTCAATAAAGAGGTTTAGGCCATGATGAGAGCAGGATCTGGAGAACCAGGAGTGGCAATAAAAAGATCAATGAGTGACCAGCTGAACCTGTTTTCTGATGTTCATTAAAAGGTGAGTGAAGTCCCTCTCTGGGCTGGCTTCACCTGCTCACCCAGGGAGCAGTGAAACAGAGCTGTGCTGGCAGCAGCAGAGGCCTCCTGAAAGAAAACCACAAGTTAATCGCTGTATTTCATGAAGAAAACACACCCAATCTCAATCCCAGAAGAGTTTGGGTTGAACTGGACCTTAAGGATCATCCAAGTCCACCCCCCTGCCATGTCCACAGACCAGGCTGCTCCAAGCCCCATCCAAACCTGAGCTGATCCTTTTCTTTGCACTCAAAGCACCTGCAATAATTATTTTAAACTATGTGCAGAAGTATTCCCTTATTAAATCTCTTATTAAATTTACAGAATTTATTTATTTAAACTAAGCAAATGCCATTTCACTTTCAAATACATCTAGGTCTAGATCAACAGAAAACACCACCGATAAATAAAATTATCATTGAATCAAGTATCACATCAGCAGCATCCAACTCTACCAGAAATGCCTCCTTCCAGTCCTTCCACCTGCCATTTAAAAGCATTTAAAAGCTTCCTGGAGCTTTGTTGGGGACAGCTCAGTAAATGAGCTGGCCCTGCCAGTTTGCCTTCATTCCCCAGAGAATGACAGCAACCTTTGAACTGGGCTTGATGCTGAGATTTATAAAAGCTTTTCAAGGCTCTGCTGTTCTCTCAGCTTCTCCATACTGGTTTAAACAACTTTTTCTTAAATACCTTCTGAGGTATTTTCTTAAATACCTTCTGCACCAGTGTTGGCAAAGTTACAAACCCAAAAAAAGTTTCATGCCAACAAAAAAATGACATATTGGTTATACAGTCAAAGCGTTTTCTATCAAGGTTCTGATGAACATCACAGGAGCCCCACACAAACTCCTGTTCAAAGGTAACGCTTTGGGATGGGCTTTTATGAGAATTTAGAAGGCTCCCCCTTTTTAAAGAGAAACTGGGGTAGATGAGACCTGATTTAGGAAAGTCTGCATCACCAACTTCAAGAGACACAGATGATTGTAAGGTTTGTGTGAGCACAGAGGGAAAAGACACAACATCCAGCAAATTCCAATGAATCTGTGTCAAAGAAACATCCTGGAAGAGGGGCAATAAACTGGACTGTAAAATCCCATCATCATAGTCACAAACAGCACAGAGTATGATGAAAGGGCTGTGTAACTCAGCTTTACAGCTGAGAGCAAAGACAGCTGTAGGGATGGGCAGAATGGGAGTGTCCATCCCAGTGACCCTGCAGGACAGCAGGGACACCTGGCTGGGGCTGGAGTGACCATGGTGAAGGACAGAGGGGCTGCACTCACGGGTGCCGGCACTGCCCCTCATGGAATCCCACAGCTTTGAGAACACCAGGGCTGACACTGCTTTTCATAGAATCCCACAGCTTTGAGGACACCAGGGCCGACACTGCTTTTCATAGAATCCCAGAGCTTTGAGAACACCGGGGCTGCTCTCACTGGTGCTGCCCCTCACGGAATCCCGCAGCTCTCAGGACACCGGGGCTGGCACTGCCCCTCATGGAATCTCAGAGCTTTGAGGACACCGGGGCTGCCCTCACTGCCACTGCCCCTCATGGAATCCCACAGCTTTGAGAACACCAGGGCTGACACAGCTTTTCATAGAATCCCACAGCTTTGAGGACACCAGGACTGGCACTGCCCCTCATGGAATCCCACAGCTTTGAGGACACCAGGGCTGGCACTGCCCCTCATGGAATCCCGCAGCTTTGAGGACACCAGGGCTGGCACTGTCTCTCATGGACTCCCACAGCTTTGAGGACACCCGGGCTGCTCTCACTGGTGCTGCCCCTCACGGAATCCCGCAGCTCTCAGGACACCGGGGCTGGCACTGCCCCTCATGGAATCTCAGAGCTTTGAGAACACCAGGGCTGACACTGCTTTTCATAGAATCCCACAGCTTTGAGGACACCAGGGCTGGCACTGTCCCTCATGGAATCCCAAAGCTCTCAGGACACCAGGGCTGGCACTGCCCCTCATGGAATCCCACAGCTGTGAGGACACCGGGGCTGCCCTCACTGCCACTGCCCCTCATGGAACCCCACAGCTTTGAGAACACCAGGGCTGACACTGCTTTTCATAGAATCCCACAGCTTTGAGGACACCAGGACTGGCACTGTCCCTCATGGACTCCCACAGCTTTGAGGACACCNCGAAAGCACATTTGTCCTGTGGCAGTCCCCTGACCCTTCTCCGTGGCCCCGCTCACCACCAGGTGATCTTGAACTCGTAGATGGGGCGCTTGCAGTAGTAGTGGTTGATGAGGTGCTTGTCGCAGACGCCGATGCACTGGTGCTCCACGGTGATGCCGCGCGCCGACAGGTCGCTGACGATGCAGTGCAGGAGGTCGTAGACGTCGGCCACGGCCTCCCAGGGCCCGAAGGACACGTCCACCTCGCAGTGGTGCTCGAAGAGCTTGGCCTCGCTCTCGCTGCGCTCGAAGCGCAGGGAGTTGAAGTGGGGGCACTCGTAGGGAGTGATGGGCATCTCCTCCTTGAACACGCACACCTTGAGCTTGGCAAACCTGGCCTTCCGCTGCATGGCCCGCAGCTTGGCGATCTCGATGATGCGCTCCAGGTGCTCTGCAGGGACACGGAGGGACGGGGGCAAGGAGGGGCCAGGGAAAGAGACCAAAAGCAATTATTCCATGGGAGAACTTCCACTGCAGCTGATCTCAGCAGCATATTAGCAGCATGTAGCAAAATACAGAATTGTTCCATCAATCTCATTATCTGGTGAGCTTGGTGGCCTTATTATATTAAAAATATAAAAATTAATATATTATATAATCATATATAAAATATATATTAAATTATATACATTATATAATTATATAAAATATAGAATAATGAAATCAGTCTCAGTTATCTGGTGAGCTTGGTGGCCTTATTGTATCAAAAATATATATAAATTAGTATATTTTATAATTGCACAATTATTCTATTCTATTCTATTCTATTCAATATATAAGTACATATAATAATTATAAATAATAAAAATATAATATTATATATTGTATATTATATATAGAATAAAATATAGAATTATCAAGTCAATCTCGGTTATCTGCTGAGATTGGTGGCTTTATTATATTAAAAATAAATAAATTAATTAATATATTATATAATTATATATAAAAAATATATTAAATTATATACATTATATAATTATATAAAATCTAGAATAATGAAATCAATCTCAGTTATCTGGTGAGCTTGGCGGCCTTATTATATTAAAAATATATATAAATTAATATATTTTATAATTACACAATTATTCTATTCTATTCTATTCTATTCAATATATAAGTACACATAATAATTATAAATAATAAAAATATAATATTATATATTGTATAATATATATAGAATAAAATATAGAATGATCAAGTAAATCTCGGTTATCTGCTGAGGTTGGTGGCTTTATTATATTAAAAATAAATAAATTAATTAATATAGTATATAATTATATATAAAATATATAGTAAATTATATACATTATATAATTATATAAAATGTAGAATATTCAAATCAATCTCAGTTATCTGGTGAGCTTGGTGGCCTTATTATATTAAAAAAATAAATTAATTAATATATTTTATAATTACACAATTATTCTATTCTATTCAATATATAAGTACATATAATAATTATAAATAATAAAAATACAATATTATATATTGTATATTATATATAGAATAAAATATAGAATTATCAAATCAATCTCTATCTGCTGAGATTGGTGGCTTTATTATATTAAAAAATAAATCAATATAAAAAATATATTAAATTATATACATTATATAATTATCTAAAATCTAGAATAATCAAATCACTCTTGGTTATCTGGTGAGCCTGGTGGCCTTATTATATTATATACATATACATATACATATACATATACATATACATATACATATACATACACAAATACATATACATATACATATACATATACATATACATATACATATACATATACATATACATATACATATAATATGTATATATATATAATTATGTATATATATACATAATTATATAATGAATGTATATGATATAATTATATAATGTGTAGAATAATCAAATCAATCTCAGTTATCTGGTGAGCTTGATGGCCTTATTACATGGCCAAGTTATCTGGCCTCACAAGGCCAAGTTTATTCACTTGCAAGTGCTGACAGAACAAATGCAGCCAAACCCTCTCATTTGATAACCTCATTTCAGCCTAACCTTGCTCCCTTCCAAGCACACAAATCCACACCCTGGGATGCAGCAGGATGTGGAGACCTCAGAGATCCAAACAGCATAAAAAATACAGAATAAACTTCCCAGCTGCAATGGGAGCTGCGAGCAGACTGAAACACGAGGTTTAACACTGCAATCCCACCAGAAGAAACAGTCGGTGCTACTTTGTTTATTTACCTTTGTAATATGGCATTAGGCCCAGGAAAGCTTGTCTCACTTTTTCTCCTTTAAGAGGCTGGATGTCCTCTAGACTGTCCAGCAAGGGTCCTATGGAATAATACTGAGCCTCCTTGTACACTGAGCTCACGCGCTCGCGGGGCGGCAGCTCACCCGACCGCAGGAAGTTTAGTACGTCTCTAAAAAAAAGGACAAAAATATCATTAACAAACACATCTCTGCCAAAACTGCTGCAGGTGGGAAAGGACAGGAAATGCTGGATATTCACTGTTTGCTCTATTGAGACAGTAACTGAAATAAATGAGCCTGGTTCCCAACGTTTGTTTGTAAAACCGTTTGTCACGTTCAGCTTTCCAAGCCATTATTTCACATTTTGCCTCAGCTGATGTCAAAACTCATTTGAAAAAAATATCAGTGGATTTTAAACCAAACATTCATTGTGGAGGAAACCATTTATAACACAGAAGAGGCCAGAGTGTTTCATGGGAAAGAAATTGTGGTCACTGCATTTCAAATTTAGGTCTGGGAAAAAATAAATTTCTGCATTTTCCCAGAGAATCTTTTTCATGGATATTTTATTCCACACAGATCCAGCTGAATGGATAGGACATCTGCAAAGGTTTCTCATCACAGATCAGGGCCATTTACAGAACAATAATCAGAATATTTAAAAAAGAGAACATTTCCTCTTATTCTGAAGCACTGTTCAGCAACAGGATCTTTTGACAGAGAGAAAAATCACTTTATAAGTATTAACCAACAAAACTCTTATCAAATGAACAAAAAAATCACTTTATAAGTGTTAACCAAGAAAACCTTATCAAATTAAAAAGCATTACTGCAATCTTAGAATGACAACAAATACAGCACCTGCTAACCTGGCTCTCTGTTCCAGCTGGATTTTCAATGAGGTTGATAACATCACAAATTAATTGATTTTCCAACAATTGCCTCATGTAAAGTTACAAATTATTTTAGAATAAACACAATGGTTTAATCTACCTCTGTCCCAGATTATGGTACAACCCAAAAGTGCTTTGAAAATAATGAATTGCTCCTCTGTTGAAGGCAATAAGGAAATGTCTATAAAGGAGCAACAAGAAATTTGGAATAAATTGCAATGTGTTCTTTGGGAAAAGACCTGAACCCAGGAACACTGATCACCTTTCTTAGCAATCTCACCCCAGCTCAAGCACACCATTAGTAATCATGGTTAGTTTAATTAAAAATAAAATTAAAGCTGAGCAGGAAGGAAGGAATCCTGGAGGTGAAGGAATATGGCACTAGCAACAAAAATAATTCAGAAAAATAAATTTTTTAAAGGTTTGAGCTTTATTTTAGCAGTTGTATCCTGTTTAAAGATTGAAAATATCACATTTTCAACTGTATAAGAATCCTAGATTAATTTATTCCTCTCCCTCTTCCTTACAGATACTGAATATCAATTCAAACCCAGTGCTGTGCAAGGAGTTTCCTATTTCCAAACACTTCTTTAAACCATCCAAACAACTTGATACCTTGAAAGGAGATACTCTAGGGGAGACAATGCACAAATTCAAGGAGATGCTCTAGGGGAGACAATGCACAAATTCAAGGAGATGCTCTAGGGGAGACAATGCACAAATCCAAAGCATTTCTTGTTTTTTCTTTTCCCATTGCACAAAGAATTTTTAACTGCATCCTGTGATGCTTTGAAGGTGTGCAATGTTAAATGCTGCACTTTAGGGAAAAGAACTGTTAAAAACAAGTTTAAAAGGTTACATTTAAGGGGAGTTGGAAACCTAAAGTAGATAACATTTACTGATCAATAAGAGAAATTAAGGGATGGATACTGGGAAATGGACATTTAGGTCAGTGTATGGGGAAACACTTGGGGGGTTGATTTCTGACCTCTGGCTGAAAACTCATTGTCCTGGACAGAAAGTTCTAGATGGAGGGGATGGGATGCTGAGTTACATTTAAAGGGAGGTGGAAACCTAAAG